TGGTTGGGCAGAAAGCACTTTGTCCATTGTAAAGTGCTATAGAACTGTGAGTTATTGTGACTGGGGAAGTAAACATAAAGTTGGGGTCCCAGATGCCTTTACCTCATCCCATGGTGGCCCCTGCTGCACAACCACCTTTAATGCTCACTTTAGCTAAGGATTGGCCTCTCTCCCTCCAGAAGTGACCCAGCATGGACCATTCCACTTTAATGATGAGGTGGACGGGCAGGTGTCTGGCAGTGTGGAGGTGACTGCCTCTGTGCAGGGGAAGATTTCAGGACAGACCTCAGTGTCAAACAGCACCATCCTCGAGGTCAAGATTCTCGCTGTGTCCCCTAACACCTGGGACAGCTTACAGAAGGAAAGGTGAGAGGAATGGACAAGACAAGAGCTGAGAGCTCTAGCGACTTCTTTTTCAGGAGTGGGGGAAGGTGGAGGAAGGAGTGGGAGGAAAGCAAAGTGTCCCAGAGGCCACCAGAGAGAAATAGAGAGTCAGAGTTTTCCTCAGGTAGTGCTTATGTCCTATACTGTCTGAGGCCTGGATAACACCCTTTTCCTAACCTCATGGAGTTCACAGTCTAGTGGAGGATGAGAATAATCCATTTAAACAACAATTCACAATATTTTCTAAGTATACTAGGAAGGTACAAAGTGAGGTCCAAGGAAAAAGGTTCTTCCCATCAGGAGGAGATGTGGAAAGGTTTACTGGAGGAAAGGGCATTTGAGTTTAGCTTTAATTGATTGGTAGAAATTTAACAGGTTAAGAGAGTGAGGGAAAACATTTCAAGCATTTCAACAAGAGCAAAGAAGGCATGTTCAAGAGGCAGTGGTTTTAAAATATATATAGATAGATAGATAGATATCATTCATTTATATAGCACCTCCACACCTAAATGTCTTTCCCAGCTAGTAATCCATTCTTCGTGACAAAGAACACAAAATAAAGGGAGAAAATGGGTCAGCAAAATTAGCCAACATGGCAGCTGAGTCAGACTGCCAGTGGCAGCCACCTGAGAGTAGGTATGGGTCCTGGGAAAGGTGGCTAGTATGTGGGAATGCGACTGACTGGGGAGGCAGGAGGTCCACCACAGGTATCATTCTATGTGACCATTTCTCTGGGACCAGAGTCAGAAATATCCAAGAGCCACCTCTGAAGTTCCCGATACACAATGCTCAGTAAGAGGGTTGATGATGATGAAGAGGAAGATGCATCCCAGGCTGTCTTTGCTCTGGGGCCATAGACTCCCTCAGCTGTATTTCACAATGTTCCCTTGTCCTCACAGCCACATTCCCCATCCCTTGCTCTTCTCCCCCCCCCCAACTATATGCTATCTCTTCCATTTACTCCTGTTTGCATCTCTTATTACAATCGATGTGGATTCTCTCACAGGGCCTATAAAGCCTTTCCATCTTGGCTGGATTGACCAGAGTTTTCAGGTCATGATAAACGACTAGAGAAAGATCATGGAGGAGGAAATCCTTCCATCTGCCTATTCGGAAAAAACCCACAGACCTTAATTGAGTTCCCCCTTATTGCCCTCTTCTCCAGGTTGTGTTGTGAGGCCCTGTTCTAAGCCTGATGTCTTCTACACTGCCTTCCAGTTGTCCCAGCAGTTTTTAGAACTCAGCATATCTTTAACAAAGTCATATACATGGTTGTAGTTGACAACCAATCTTGCAGGATCCGAACACGCCCAGTTTTGCCGAATTGAGTCAGAACTTTTTTTAATTATCAAAAAGTAATAATAGCAGAAAAATCTTGTATTGGATAAACCTCTCAGTCATTTTTGTGACTATGAAGATTATTGTTGAAAAATTTCCTGTGAAAGTCTGCCTATTATCCTTCTCATATTTTCAAGGAAGAATTAAAGTACCCTAGAAACGTAAGATACCAATATGGTTACTAATAATATAAATATCAGCTATTGTTACAATTGCACTTTAGTTGAAAGGAACAAAATAGATGAATGGGGCAAAGAGGTTACATATTCACTTGAGAAAATCCAGAAACCAAAGAGGAAAAACATCAGTAAAGCTGAAGATGAATGAAGGGAGAAATGGAAGCAATCTTGTCCTGGGAGTGTACTACAGATCACCTGGACAGACAGGATAAATAGATGAGGACTTCTGAGAACAGATGTGCAAGTCTTGCATGACATAGTATCAATAAGAAACTTCCTTTATCCAGATATCTGTTAGAACTCTCTTCCTACCAAAGGCAGAAAGCATATCAAGTTCCTTATAGAATTTCTCCCCTCTTCATCTTCTATGCAGGCATTGATGCATAATCTGCAGTTAACTTCATGGTGGTCTGTTTGTTGGGCATTGCAAGGCAAAATGACCAGGTGGCCATGAAATTATGTTTTTTGTCCTCTTCAAAAGTAACTCTACTTTATTCGCTTTTCCAAGGAGAACTTGTTAGCTGCCATTCAATTTAGCTACAACTTGTTTTATGTCTTCTGGATTTGTTAATATGGAGAGAGAATCATTGTTTATTTCCTACTTTAGTTAGTTTATTAACTTATTTGCTGCACAAAAATCTACCATGTAGAATACTAACAGTTAAAGTAATACTTAAGGACACACACACACACACTCTCTCTCTATGTGCTCTTCTAAAGCTTCTTTTATCTGATTTGTATCCTACCTTCACTAAACAGCTTGGCTGTGATTCTCTTGCAATTGCCTCCTCTGTTCATGTTGAGATCTTTCACTAATGATCCCACATTACCAAGAAGACAGATGCCAGCAGGCTTTTCCCTTAGTTGACATCTCTACTTTTTGCATTAGGAAATCACAGCTCCCAAATCAACATGTGGCTCCCTATCTGACTTTTCCATCTCAAGTCTAGGTGGTCAGTCTCCCATCATCCCCAATCTGAGAAGACTGCTCTGGTGAGTTAAACCAAAAAAGGCCTTGCTTGACAAGGAAATAAAAAAGGTAAAAGAAAGTCTCATGGCTAACATGAATACTTTCTACTAAAATATTCCTCAAGTAAGGTTATTCTCATTGTCTTACAAAGGTGGCCCTTGGGGAAACCTAAGGCCATTAATTCCTCCTACTTATAACCTAATATCTCCACGTTGGATTACCAATATCTCAGGAAATTCTGAGTTGCTTGTAACTGCTATTTTTCTCATTTTTCACCCATGCTGTAGAACCATGCAAGCCCTACCCCATCTAACTTCATTTGATAGAATCCCAGAATTTCAGAGGCAGAATAAGCCTGAGAGGACAAATAGTCCAACCTCCATGTGAAGACGAATCCCTTACATACCTCCCTGAAAATGGATTTTCCAGCCTCAACCTCACTGGGTTAGATATTTTGCTTGGAAGAGACGCTTTTTTTGTTCATTTAAAAAATTTATTTTCTTTCTCCCACACCATCCCCATACCACCAGAGAAAAAGAAAACAAAGCCATTATATCACATATGGAGTCAAGAAGAACAAATTCCCAAATTGGTCATGTCCAAAAACCACAGCTTGTTATATACCTTGAGCCCATCATCCTTCTGTCAGGAAACATAAGCTATGCTTCGTCATCAGGCCTCTGGAATTGGTCATTGTGTTGATCAGGGCCCCTAAGTCTCTCTCACAAGTTCCTTGTTTTTACAGTACTGCTGTTCTTGTGTAAATTGTTCTCCTTGTCCTTGCTTGGGATCAGTTCATACAAGTCTCCCCAGCTTTCATTACAACTTTCCCTTTCATCATTTCTTAGGGCACAATAGTATACCATGACATTTATATACCATCATTTCTTTAGCCATTCCTCAAGTGATGGGCACTCCATTCCCCTTACTTTCCAGTTCTTTGTACTAAAAAAAAGGCTGCTCTAAATGATTTGTACAAATGGGTTCTTTTCATCTTTTAAAAATATCTTTGGGGCATTATAAACCAAGAAGCAGCGACGCTGGGTCAAAGAGTATGTACAGATTAATGATTTTGGGGCATCATTCCAAACTGCTTTCGAGAAAGGCCATACCAATTTATAGCTCCTCCAACTGGGCATTAATGTGCCTATTGTCTTGCAGTCCCTCCAATATTTGTCATTTTCCCTTTTTTGCCAAATTTACCAATCTGATTGGTATGAAGAGGGAAATGAGAACCACCTTAATTTGCATTGCTTGAGTTATCTGTGATTTGAAGCATTTCTTAAAACTGCTATTGATAGCTTTGACTTGGAAGATATTCTTCCCTTCTTTGTCAGATGATGCCATTTTGACTAAGAAACTTTGTTCTAACAGCTGATTTTCTGGAAGGAGGTGGAGGAAGGATACAGGAAGGAAATCTAGGCATTGTAAAAGCAAAAGATATCATTGAAAAATCTTTTTTAAAAAACTTCTCTGAGTCCTTTTTCTCACTTGCACCTATCCCATTGTACCTCTTATTCTTCTTCAGGTGCATGTAGCAAAGGCACTGGCTCTGAAATCAGAGCACCTGAGTTCCAATCCTGTCTCTATTGCTTGTTACCTGGATGAGATTGGATGAGTCCCTTCACATTTCCTGTCCTCAGTTTCCTCTTCTGTAATATGAGGAGGGTGAGGTAGAGGACCTCTAAGGTCCTTTCCAGTTGTAAATCTATGATTCTCTGATAA